CCTAAAGATCCTTAGAGATACCATAATAATAAAATTCATAAAATCCAATCTCCTTATCTGGAGGGCTGACTATAGTGTGAAAGAACCCAAAGTTTCATTTTGAAAAAGTCATGGTTTGGAAAGAGTGCATTTAGATAGACAAAAGATGAAGATGGGGAAAATGCTTAATCCTTTCCGCCATATTCTCACTCAGATGTCTAGTAATCTATCCTACACATTATCAGATATATATTTGCAGCTTCGGTTATTCACAGATTTGGTTAATACATTGTCTTTAGGAATCTCTAGGCCCTCAGAGATCACTATTGGATGATCTAGAGATTCCTATAGAGTTCATCTCTCTAGGTCCTCCAGTGCAATCTATAGTCAACTTTTGGCAGAAGTTGGCCATAGAGTCATGTTGGAGAACCTAAAGATTCCTACAGAGGTGTTCTCTTTTTTACTTTCATGGGAATCTTGTATTCCTAATCCAAGCAGATGTGGAGGGCTGGCTGTATATTGACTACAACAAACATACGCTTTGATGATTATGTGGTAAAAACCATCTGTAGGACATCAGCAGAGAAACAGTTGGTAAGGGACAGGCTGAGTTCTTCTTGCTATTAATCTATATTGCACCTCAACTTCTCAGGGATTCTTAATTTGGTGAATAGTTACATTCATCTCTATGTCATGCGTAGTTCATCTTCACTTTGGTCATTCTTTTATTTTTCTAAGAATAGTTTCAAAGACCTTGCAATACAATAATCAAATTTTTGTAGACACAGTAATAATTTACTGTACCTTTTCCCCTGTGTGTCCTCGCAGGCCCTGAAATATTAAAAAATGCTTATTTAGTAACAAAATTAAAAAAGAAACCTTGATTAAAAGAGATTGTTTAGTCATATTCTTACCTTCTGGCCCTTATGCCCAAAATCTCCCCTACATCCTTTCATTCCCTGTACTCCAGGAAATCCCCTGGAACCCTAAAAGGGGAAAGACAAAGAGTCAATGTGTGCGTTTATGTGAGGGATCCTACTAAGGTTGAAATAATATGAATGAGAAGGAGAAGGAGAAGAAGAAGTTGTTAATGACTTACTGGCTCTCCATTTTCTCCTATATCTCCCTGTCTGCCCTCAAGGCCATCAGATCCCTGGAAATAACATTAATAAATAATTCATACTTTGTTATTGAAATTATTATTATATCTCAATGAACTTTCAGTAGAACTCAATCGACTTTAAAATGATATTGATAATGTTATTGCCCATTCCTTATTACCTTCACTGTAATAGTGACTATCACATTGACCAAAGTTTATAGTATTTTCAATGGTTTATTACCCAAATTTTGGATCAATGTTTTTTCAAAATAACTAGGAGAGCTTGGGTGATATCTGGGAAGCTGCAAAGGGGCTACAAACAATCTATTGCAACATGTTGCCATCCAAGATTAAATCCTCTCTATTTTTTGTGCATGTTCAACAATCATGTCCATGTATTTCTGGATGAATGTGTGTAGTTATGTATGGAAATAGCAGACTTCTCAGCAGTGGTACCATACTAGTTGAATTCCCTCCTGTCAGAGATCTCTCTGACAACTATAGTTTTGTTTTTTGATGAATAGTTTTTTGAAAAAAAAATCCATACTAGCTTTCAGGGAATAAAAACATGATTTCTCTGTCATCTACAGCAGCTTGCTTGGATATTAGTAGGCATTTGTACTTTTTAGTCAGCCCTTTCCATATTCAGTATAGCATTGCTCCACAAATCATTATTTAATTGCTGCATTGTAAATGTGTTTCACACTGAAAAGTATTTTTGAAAAAAAAAAGGATTTGGACGTTGCAAAGTACAGTAATTGGGTTCCAAGCAAAGCTTGCCAATAGTTAACCTTGGCCTACATTTGACACATTTGTTAAAAATAATAAGGCATTTTCTTGGAAGAGCTAGAAATAATGTTGTAAGAGTGTTCCGACAGTCCACGATTCTGCATTATTTGTGAAAAATTAAAACAAACTCCAAAGTGAATAACTTGGTGTTCAGTGGAGTTACAAACTGTCTGTTTTCCCAGTCAGTCTCAATTTTACCTTGATCTGAATTAGATGAAGCATAGACATTCTTACCTTGAGACCAATTTTCCCTGATTGTCCAGGAGGGCCTTTTTCGCCCGTGCACTTACAAAATAGGCAGCAACATTTTCTCTCAGCAATTTTGTCCTTGAAAAGAAGAAAACACGGGAGATAAAACACTTGTTCTTTGAACTTATTAGCACGTTTATCAATACTGAACATTGTTGTCATTGCAACCCATGGACAGTGGGATAATGCTTCTCTACCCAGAATGAACAACCTAAATGATTAAACACTGGGAACTATTGTTGGTAAGCCCCTCACGGATAAAGTTTTCTCTATCCTATGTACACTTCCTTGAGAGCAAGCTTACTGAACATTCAAAAAGCACTACTAAACACATGCTGTGTTGGTAGATGTCTTCATTTTTATGATTTTTTTTGAATGATAGGTAAAGGTTTTCCCCTGACATTAAGTCCAGTTGTGTCTGGCTCTGGGGGTTGGTGCTCATCTCTATTTCTAAGCCCAAGAGCCAGCATTGTCCATAGACACTTCCAAGGTCTTTTGGCCAGCATGACTGCATGGAGCACCATTACCTTCCCACCGGAGCAGTCCCTATTGATCTACTCACATTTGCATGTTTTCCAACTATTAGGTTGGTAGAAGCTGGGGCTGACAATAGTAGCTCACGCCACTCTCCAGATTCAAATCTGTGTCCTTTTGGTCAACATATTTAGCAGCTCAGCGGTTTAACCCACTCTACCACTGGGGGCTCCTTTTGAATGATAATGGATAATGAATGGAAAAACTAGTCTGACCTCCCCATTCAAGAACCAGCAAGTAGACATTATCAAAGGCTTTCACAGCTGGAATCACTGGACTGTTCTCTGGTTTCTGGGCTGCATGGCCATGGTCTAGCAACATGGTTGCCATTTTTGAGCCATTTTTCACGGACCTTTAAAAAAGTATCAGCATTCACGCTGCAACTCATAATGATTATTATTTATGGCACAAAGCACTGCACTGCTATGTTTTGAAATCTAATCTAATTGTTCTTCTACCATGAACTTACCACATACTCAAACAGCTGGTCAGCGATATTGTGTGTGCCAATAGTTAATTGTTCTTTATATCCAAATCCCTTCCCAAATTCGATATACTGAAGATGATGAAAGTTGGTGGCTCCTTCCAGGGCAACAGTGATGATTCCATTCAGTCCTATTTTAAATATTAATGATTGTAAACATATTCTAAAAATTGGGATTGTTTTCAATTCCCACCCCACACAATTAAAAAAAATACATCACTTTTCACTCCCTCGCACTCAATGATCAAATATTACAAGATAGTAAATTATATCTAGAAAAAGAAGAGTAGTTGATAGACTACAAAGGTAGCCAATTAACCACTCAACTTTGTTCAAACAACATGCTTCTGAACTGGTGGAGGCAGGTGGGTATGATGTCAATAGGGTGGTAATGTACCTTGCTTTCTTAGTTCTTCAGATTTTTGTTCAAGTGCTTCTATGTCATCATCCAAGCCATCAGAGAAAAGAAGCAACACCTACAACATCAGAAAGTGAAAGTTAACATCAGCATCAAAAAGAGAAACAATATATATGCAGTAGCTGAAATCAGAAGAAAAAAGAGAGAAGAGCAAGAAAAGGGTGAAGGGATGGAAGAAAGAGAGATCTATGTTACAGCAGATCTTAACATCCTCTAGCCCAGGGATACAATCAATGTTAGATTAAAGTAACCCTAACTAGGTCAGAGTTAATGTAATCCTAAATAATTTCCACCTTTTGTAGGCTGAGGATTGTGTTGATTAAATCTCAGCTATCCTTGAGAGTTAGGCTGACAGGTGTGTTGTATAACATTATATGCAGTATTGTTACACAATCAGTTAGGTATGACAATAAATTACCTTGCTTCGGTTTTTATTACCGGATAGGCCTTGAAATGAATTCCAAAGACGGTCCAAAAATTTGACATTGAGGTGAGATGGGCTGTTGATCACAACATTTCTGAGTTTCTCTATGATTTTTTGATCATCAACTTCAAGGCTTGCCAAGAGAGGTTGATCTGTATTTTCTATTCGGATGGCCACACTGAACTGTGTCGTTGTTCCTTTACTGCAACTCACAGAACTTAAAGACGTGAAGTCCTTTATTATACTAGGAAGATAGGTTTCCAAAAGTTGTTGGTTACTGAATAAGTGATCCCCTGGTTTCTGAGATGAGATGTCAAATCCCATAAGCACATCCACAAAACATGCTGTTTTAGGGAAATAAAAATAGCAAGATATCAGAAAACAATTGTGGAATAATTGTTGAATAAAGATAAAAACAGAGCAATGAATACCTGCATTGGGGAAGGAAATCAAGCAAATTTCAACAAAGTTGAAAATTTAATGCTCTCTCACTTGCTATTTTGAGGTTTTTGGAATGTTGGAATACAAATCTCAACAAGTACATCTATACCAGCATCTGTGTGCTTCTTCCTCCCTACTTGCCCCAGGGGTATGCAGGTATATCTTTCCCCACTAGCTTCTGAGAAACTGGAACTGTCCTTGGGTGCATTCGGATTGACTTCAACTACTAGGCAAAATGGGCCAGTACCAAGTAGAGGATACTGTTGGCCTCACCACACATAAAGCAGAATCATATAATGCAACTTTTTTCTGAGGTGGAAATATTTTTCTCAATTTACTTTCCTCATGAAAATGTTATCATTCAGAGTATAAATTCCTGAGTCCTGGAAGTTTTTGAGTAATACATAAACAGCAGTTCACCTCCTGATATGGAGTCTATAATTCAATGGTTCCCAACCTTTTTTGATCAAGGACCACTTTGACCAGGGACTACTTGACCAGGGGCCACTTGACCAGGGGCCACTTTGACTAGGTACCAAAAGGGTTATGATTTGGTTTGGGGTGCTGATTTAGAAATTGCATTTAGAAACCACATCAGTTCTGTAAAGAGACCACCAATTTGTAACTAAGCCACCAATTTGTGATAAGGTGTGAAAGATTTGGTAAAGGAGCCACCTCTTTGTAAGGGCTTATTAAATTGATAGCACACTAATAGCTTGTAATATTGTTTTGGTCTTTCTTCAATATGTAGCGTGACTGATCTTGGAAAGGAATTGTAACAGAGACTGGGCTATAAAAGAAACTGTAACAAGTTTATTGTAGTACAGAAGTGGTTTCTATGTTTCTTGTCTCTTAGAGGTACACTTCTTCAGAGGTTACATTCATAACATTTCATAAACAACTCTTAGGAGGACTATTTCTAAACAGGTCACAAACTTATTTTCTTTAACAAATTATTTCAGGTACACACTTGCTCTTCCTTTGTGATGTTTCTGTTGCACTAAAGATTCCTATTAAGGCTTTCCCTCTTTTCCTTAACTACTAATATAAATAAGTCAACTCGACTTATCTAAACACTCAGGCTAAAAGCCAAAACCTTCCTGATTCTTGCTACAATGGAATCAGACTTCCCCTGTGGTTCTCTAACTACAGATTAACCCATTGGTTAATCCACACACCACAGAACCAACCTCTCCTGTAGCTCACCGACTACAGACTCCTATCCTGATTCTCACTACTACAGAATCAGCCACTCCTGCAGTTCACAAACTGCAGACTACTTCCCTAGTTCTCCACACCTTAGAACCAGCCTTCCCTGTAGTTAACCGACTACAGACTAACTGCTTTAAAATGGCTGCTCTGCCAAGTGGCAGTTGGCTCCACCCCTTTTTCTATAGCAACCCAGCTCAAAGTGAGCTGAGCTGGCTACCACCCCCCCTAGTTATGCAACTTTAAATACTTACCCTTTAAAACATCTATCTATAACTATACATAACTGCAAGTTAAAAATTTACACTTCACTGCAAGCTCTAGTTTCTGATACAGAACATATGTCATGGTCAGTGACAGAGAAAGAGTGGCAGGTGGTGCAAAAGAAGTGGAAATAAAATAAAATAAATAAAATAAAGAGGAAGGAGGCTTGCAGATCAGATTTCCATCCTCACAACCTACTGGTGGTCCATGGCCCACAAGTTAAGAACCACTGCCATAACTATTGTATTGTATGCACATGAAGGCTGTATACATGCAAGAGTTTACTTTTAATGTTTTTAAAGTGAGAAAATATGAAAATATGTAAATGTCTGCCTTTGTCTTTAGTGATACAGTCGATGGTAAGATGCATGATATAATTTAGCTGCATGTAAATTTGACCTTGCTACATCCAGAACATATTGTTAAAAATGTACAAGAGAATACAGTAGGCCCTCCTAATCCATAGGCTTCTTATCTGTGGTTACAACCAACCATGGGTCGTTGTGGTCAAAACCTAAAATGGTGGCAACATGCACGTGGGTACACTAATGTGGACATGTGCATGTTATCACCATTTAATAATTTTGTGTGTCACAATTTGCTTTTTTTTTTTTTGCAATCCATGTGGTGTCTTGGAAAAACTATCACCCCAGATCCAGAGACCCCACTGAAGTGACAGGCTATTCTTTTGCATTACATAATGATTTATACAAGGTTGCTGGTAGAATAAGGGAAAATAGCACTTATCTTTTGAGTGCATTGTTGGCATTAAATTTAAAATATATTGTATCTTAGTTAAACTTTAACAAATGTAGGAGACTGCTGCTCTTGGTGAGGTGGGGAAACAGATCAAAAGCAGAGTGAAATTAAGAGCCAAGACTACAAAGTTAACAACAGTTTTTGAAAACTAATTTTTAAAAAACCACAAAGTTTATTGTAGCTAACATAAAATCACTTGAATTACCTCTCTGAAATTGGTTAATCTTTGTTTTAGGATGTGTCTCCAAATCTTATGCAGACATGTACAAGAATAAAAAATGGTATAGGAGAAGGATTGGTGGTCCAAGTAGACAAATCTTTTTGTTTTGTTTTGTTTGTTTTTTTGGTTTAGGCTTGGATTGATTTAGTTTGAAATGAGTTCAGGTTCAAATCATCAACCAGGATGCTGAGTAGAGTCAATGGCATGACCTTAAACTATGAATAACAGGAATCTATTTTTCTTACACACAAACAAAATTAATTTTTAAAAATTGAACTCAACTTACTTGATTTATCATCCTCTATACAAATTCCCTCTGTTATGCGCTTCGTAATATTGGGCAGTTCATTGTAATTAGCTGCAGTGTATATCCTCTCTGGGGAAACAGTTATCTGTTGAAGTTTTGCACGATCGATTTTTCCCACTCCAACTGCATGTATCTCAATGCCTTCCCTTCTTAGGTCTTCCACTGATTGAATAAAGTTGTCTCTTGATTTTCCATCAGAAATTACTAGCAACTTTTGGTGCACATTTCGAGCCACTCTGCGTTTTGGTGATTTGAAGAAGGCTTTTACTTCTTTAAGACCTTTTCCAATGTATGTCCGATTCCCTGCCTGCCTTGAAATATTCAAAATTTTATCCTTCAGTTCTGATTTGTTTTGATAATGATCCAGAGGAAATTCTTCGTTGTATCTGTCACTAAATTGGGCCATTCCAAATTTTATGTTGTCAGTAAAACCAATCAAATCAACCAGTTTTGTCAAGAAGACTGTCACATTCCCAAAATCTGTTTTGGAAACACTTGTAGAACCATCAAGCAAGAAAACAATTTCGGCATGGATGTTACATGCTGCAAGATAAAAAAAAGATTTTTTAGTATTTTTCAAATCATGACTTGGAGTGCTTATTCCAACCCACCAAAAACCAGATTTCTTTATATACCATGGAAGTCCTATCTTCCACTATGTGTAGTGATATAGAAAATGGCTTTGCATTTCCATTTTCTATATCACTACACATAGTGGAAACAGGATAACTAGTCTTTTTTATTTAGAGTGAAAGATGTATTGAAGTAAAGCATTGTTTTCCCTGACTGCTGTTTTCAAAATATTGTAGAGCCACCAATTCATCCATGGGTGAATGTAGAATCCTTGGAATGCAAGCACCTTTGTCAATTCTATACATTATTTAACAGAATTAATAATAATAAACTTTCTTTATATCTAGCCCTATCTCCTCATGGGGACTCAGGGAAGTTACCAACAAACATTCAATGCCTGTAACGATGATAATAACCATAAAATTTAAACAAAAATCACTAAGCAATTTTTGTACACCAGACATTATATGACATGAAGTTAAATTAAGCAATTAAGAACACACATTAAATTATCGCAGTTTAAAAGCCAATCTAGCCAAGTATCATTCTCGTTCCATGTCCCTGTGATAATTGGATTTTGTACTTTAAAGTATTCTGTACTTTAAATAAACTTCGATGCAGATGACTGAGATGGTTTAAACAGTGGATTTTAATGTTGAGATAAATGATTTTAAAATGTTTATATATGTGTATAGTTTATTTATATCCCTGCATTGAATGTTTGCCACTTATATGTTGTGCTCTGCCCCGAGTCCCCTTCAGGGTGAGAAGGGTGGAATATAAATGCTTTAAATAAATAAATAAAATTATAAATAAACTGAAATAATAATAAAATTAAAACAGACTGGGGTGGGGGTGAATCAGACAAACAACAGTCACTAGAATTTTAGAAAATCCATCAGAATAGAAGAGCCACAAATTCACTTAAGATAAAGAAAAATGATTGACACTGAAAACGCCTTTCATTACTTTCAAGAAACTGGATTCCAAAAGCAGAACAACACTGCAATCAAATCTCTAAAGATGCTATCAGAACTCCAGGTGACAGATCACCCCAATTCATATTAGAAGGATTGCTTTAAAACATCTCTAGCCATTTTTAAAAATTTAAAGCTGAAAACCATTACTTTGAATTGTGCATGAAAGGCAAATTGCCAGACACTGTTTTTCATCTGACTATTTTATTAGAAGTTGTACCAACGAGTCCAATTTAATGTGGGCTGCTAGATTCTGATCTCCCATAATAGAGTGCTAAGAGGCAGCATGAGACATATTGCAGGATGGCACTTAAAAGATGATGTTGTTTAATCATTTAAATTATTCACACACTTTGAATTCTAAAATTTTCCAGCATAACTAAAATTAGCTAGAGTGCAAAAATATGAATTTTCCCTCACTATCATAACTTAAGTATAACAAAAAAAGAAAAAGAAAAAAGAAATGACTGCAAGTGACCGGTTAGTAATTACTTAGGACCACTACATAAATTGAAGAGCATGTTATTTAGATTAGTCATGACAACTTTCCACCTCACTATTTGCTGTGTCTACATTAAATCTGATTATGTTTGCTCAAATCCAATACAATTAGAAGTGAGTGAAGTAACATTATGTCAACATTAAGTTCCATTTCACAATTCAACATGGAATTATAAGAGAAAACTATAAACCATGCAAAATGACCTCAATGCAACAATGCTTCTGGGACTTCAACCTCTGTCCACAGTACAACTATTAGATTACCATATAAATCTGCAGTTGGGAAAAATAACACAGAGAAAGGATGTTACTTACCTGCTGTTGGGCAATAATTATCTATTACCGATAGATTTTTTAGTCCATCAAAGGTATCCACAAAAAATACATGATCTTTGTTTTTGGCTATGATCTCAAGTTCTTGAGGATTTGCATCTTTTATCCCAATGGCATAAATAGTAATTCCATTGCTCCTGATTCGTGTTGAGACCGCATCAAGTTGGTCTTTATCATCGGAGAATCCATCAGTTATGACTATGAGAAGTTGAGGGACACCTCTGCGTTTGCGGCTGCCGTGGCTTTCAGTGAACAAATCTTCAGAGTGTCGAAGAGCCTGTGCTGTGAAAGTTGTGTACTTCATAGGTGTGTCACCCTTAATCTTATCAATGATCGCTGTTTTGTTACCATCAAGGTAGAACAGAGTTTGTGGATTAGCAGAATATTTCACAGCTCCAAACTTAACACGGTCCTCGCCAACATCAGATTTATTGATGATGTCAATCACAAAGTCCTTTATAATAGCATAATTGTAGTCCCCTATACTGCCAGAACTATCTATTACAAAAACAACATCTAAAAGATTTGCCCTTTTGCAGTCTGAAAAAAGAAAGAAAAGAAAAACCATTAATGAAATTATTCATATTGCAGGACTAAATCAGATATTGCAAAATGAGTTATATTCAGGAGATCTTCCCCAAGAATCTGCAGCCCTCCATAGTGCTAAGAACCTATTACAGAGGACTTTTTACTCTTAAAGATGCAAATTTTCTTTACAAAGTGGTGAGTGTATGAACTGGATGAACTGGTGGTGGTGAATCACCCCATGCGACCTCATCTATTTGATGAGATCCTGAGAATCTTTAAAGGCTGGGTAACTTTATTGAGTCCAGGAGGTTGTGTTTTACCTTGGGAACCTCTGTGCCTAGAGAGGGGGAAAGTATCATATTTGTAACCCATAAGAACTGTTTTCTAACCCTCAGCTCCTCACAGATAAAAGAAAACAGGACATGTTTCTTCTTCTCCTCCTAAAATAGCTCACAAGGGTCTCGAAAAATTATAAAAATGCCCATACACCTCAAAAGGGAATTTTGTGGCAGATATTTATTTTATTTTTATTTTTTTGCAGATGCACCAGCCACACTACAAGTTTCCCTGTTTGGCTAATGTGGTCTACTTATTGCTAACATTTACACTAGAGCCAGTCAAAAAAATAAAAATGTAGCCAATTGTCCATTACTGAGTTAAAAACAGGGGTTTTTAAATATATAAATCTTCAAATAGTCCAAGACTACGAAAATGTCTTTTAGACATTAACTCATTCAACACTAAGTCTTCAAATAATAACTATAGCAAGCAACCATCTGACACATTTGCCCTAAAGAAGCCTATACTATAAAACTGAGCTTTATAGTATAGACACAATTGTTGAGGTCATAAAGAGGACATCAAGGGGTGGATACAGTAACCCGCTCTTTTTGCTGATCGCACAGGTTTGCCACTCTGACTACAACAGTGATGGCCACTTGCTTACAGAGGCTGGTTAGTGTCAGTGGAGTCACAATGATCATCCAGTATCTCACTCCCTGTGCTGAACAGTCAACAACAGTCGATCACGATGAAACAGACTCAATTCAGCTTTCCATTTGCTTGCAAACTCCAAGGATGCATCAGAGTTTCCTGCAAACTTTGGAATATCCCTCAACTTTGCCTACTGAGGACCAAGGTTAAGGGCTGAACCTCTGGATCCTTTCTAAAAGACACTGTGAAGACAGCCAGTGACAGCTTTGGTTTGAGTATGGTTTTTTTAAAAAATCACGTAGACATGACCATTCTCCTGTTTTAATTGCTGAGCAAAACACCCACCCACACATATCAGCACATATAAACCCACACAAATTGCATAAGTGGTAAGAAGCAAGAGAAGCATTACTAACCTTCTGGCTTATAGGGACTGCATGTGCCAAAAATTATGTCGTCTTCTATGTTCTTTAATATATCAAAGTTTTCAACATAAAACACATTTTCGGGTTTCCCACTTATCTCTTCTAGCTGTGTTTTATTGGCATTAAATACTCCGACTGAATAGATTATGATGCCTTTGTTCCTCAGCTTTGTGGCTGGATCTTTTACTTCATCAGTTGCTTCTCCATCTGTGATCAGGACCAGAATTTTGTTGACAGAAGGCCGTGCTCCTTTGGCAGGTTCAAAATACTGAGACACAAATCTCAAGGCTTCTCCAGTATTTGTGATGCTTCCTATGAGGGACATATCCTCAACAGCCTGAATGATGTCACTTTTTGTTGAGATCGTCTTGTTGAGTGCGAACACTTCTTTACTGGTGTCACTGAAATGGACAACGCCAACCCGCACCTGGTCTTGGCCAATGTCATATCTGTTCACCACCTCCTTTATGAAGGTCTTCATTTTCTTAAAGTTGTCATCCCCTATGCTGCCTGAACTGTCCACCAGGAACATAACATCAGCTTTCATTTCCTTACAAGCTGTGATAGAAAGAAAATTGTTACTCTTTTTTTTTTTACCAAATATGGTTGAACAATTCTAAAAACATTGCTTATGTTCAAGAAATGTCATATTTCAATAATATCTTGGGAAATTGCAAACAAATCCATTTTGATTTTTTACTTGGGATCAAGAAATTGCCTCTTCAACTAGCATTCGTTTAAGCATTTTATTTTTAAATGTTTGGTTTTAATTTAAAATTTAAATTAATTGGTTTAACATTTGATTGAAAACAGATTTAAAATGCAATTTACTCTTTTAATTTTAATCAGACTTTAACAAATGAATTGTGTCCATGGCTTTTACTCATGCTATTGTTACTCGTTTAAGTGTTATTCTTCATTCAGACAACCTTTTCAATGTTGTTTTCCAGTCAAATGTTTCCGCATAGTCTGGCCAGTTGATCTGTTTTCAAAAGTAGGGCCATTAGAGTTCATTATTTGTTCATCGATACATTCAACATAAGTTGTTTGCAGTTCCTCAGTCCAAAAAAGTCCCTGAATTCAGAGTAGTTTTTAATGCTACAGGCTGTTTGACAGTGTTTGAATTGGAAGGTAGTGGACACTCCATTTTTGGAAGTCTTTAAATAGAATAGAGGTTAAATGGTAACCTTTCGGGTGTGCTTTAGTTGTACATTTTTGCATCTCAAAGGGATTGGGCTAGATGGTGCTTGTGGATCCCTCTAACTCGAAGACTCTGTGGATTATGTCCACCAAAACTGAGGATCAATGAAATAAATGAAAACCAAGCTTGATTATGATTTAATTTCTGTCTTTGGCACCTGCAAACTCTACAAAGTTGGTAACAACATGCAACCATCACCTTTCTACATTGCTCAGGTCTTGCTTTCTGCAACCCCTTGCTTACTGAAGTAAAGGTTTCTGCCAGGGGTGATTTGAATGAGATTTTCCTGCTTCTTGTGACCTCACAACCTCTGAGGATGCCTGCCATAGATGCAGGTGAAAAGTCAGGAGAAAATGCTTCTAGAACAAGGCCATGCAGCCCAAAAAACCTACAACAACCCAGTGATTCCGGCCATGAAAGCCTTGAACAATTTAATGACTATTATTATGGAAACAAACCTTAGAACTGTATATTTATCTCATAACACCTAATTATTACTCCCTGAAAAAGGTTCCTTGAATCTTGAAAATGAGATTTGGTTTAGTGAGATTGTTCTTACCTTCTTCAGAGCATATAGCTTGAACAATATTGTCTTTGATGTATTTCAGTGAGGCATATTGATTCACAAAATAGACCCTTGACTCTCCAATCTCATGCAACTCTTTCTCATTAGCCTCTCCCACACCAATTGCAAAAATATTAATTCCTGCTTTCCTTAATTTATCAGCAGGTTCTTTCACTTTGTCCTGTGCTTCTCCGTCTGTTAGCACAATCAGATAGGTAGGCACTTTATAATTCCGCTGCTTTCTTGCTCTTTCAAACAATAGCAGCATATATTCCAGAGCAGCTCCAGTATAAGTATCTCCTGTCCAATACTGGATATTATTGATTGCTTTTTCTAAATTGCTGCTCATAATGTGTTTGTCAATTTCAAATTCTGTTCTGGGACTGTTTGAATACTGAACAACTCCAAAGCGAACATGATCAGGACCAACAGTAAACATTTTAATCACTTCTTTCAGGAAAGTCTTCATGTCTTTATTAAAAGAATCGGGACCAATGCTTGTGGACCCATCAATGAGAAAATAAATATCAGCTTTTTCCGTGTCCACGCATCCTGCAAGAATAGAAAGATTTTGTAAGGCCTTTGATATAAACTTGTCCCAAAGATAACCATAAGCCAATGTTTTAAAGCAGGCAAAATATAGGCATAGGTCCTTCAGAATCCACTGCTTCATAGGAATTTATATTGGTATGGGCAAACCACTAGTATAACTCGGCCTATGGAAGAGGTACAAATTAGTAGTACCGATAAAGAGTGTTCATGTTTTACTCATGAGGTGTACTAGAAATATCAAAACTCAAATGAGCCCTTGAAGAGCACCTCAGCAGCAACATATTCTCTCAATCACTTTTTCTCAAACACATGGTGAGAAATCTAATGATCAGAATCCTATTGATGATATACTCATGAGTAAATTCTCTTATGCTCAGATGAGTATCTCTTATCCAAAATGC